TCAACAATTAATTATTATGCTGTTTCTGGCATATAGCAGATCTCTCCGTAAAGCTTGTATATTGATATTATGTCATCGTTTATCGATCAGAATGAAATATAATTCCTGCCAAGTTTCGGCAGTATTTGGTTGTTCAATGCAATGTCCGGATGTAACATTATTATCCAATCAAAATTTTAAATTTATGGAGATAGTTTCTAAATTTGTACCAGTTACACAACGAAATTTCAACTGTTAATTATGAAAGTTTTTTATTCTGAAATTTGCTTAAAGCATACACCAAAATATGAAATAACGTATGGCCATTCAATAGTTCATCCTGGTAAGTTAATATAAACAAATTAATATATAAAATTACAATTGAATTAGTAAAAGTTTTTCCGACTTGCTTTTTTTTTTTAAATAAATAAAAATTTTTTTAAAAAAATTTTTTTCTTTTTTTTTTTTTTTTTTTTTTTTTTTTTTTTTTTTTTTTTTTTTAAGAAAGTCCGTCTCGTCTTACGATCATCAAGTCACATTTAATTAAGTTAAAAGAACAAAACAACAACAACAGTCATGATTTTGAGATTTTATCACCTCAAGATTATGGACTTGATCCAATTCTAAGTGTTCATGATAAAGATTATGTGGATTTTCTTCAAAATTCTTATTATGAATGGTGTGAAGAAGGTGGTAATAAAGATGGAGTGGTACCTGATACCTTTGCGCATTTTGGAATGAAAACTTCATTTAATAAGAAGAAAATTACTTCTACATTGGCTAAAGCTGGATTGTATTGTTTTGATACTACTTGTAATATAACTGAAGGTAATTAATTATTATGAGTAGGGAATATTGATTATTAATTGATTGATTGATTTTAATTGTGAATATAGATACTTGGAAAGCTACCTATGAATCAGCTCAAGTCTGTATTAGTGGTGCTATTGAACTTAAAAAATTGGCATATGAATCAGATCAATCATCAATTGGTATATTTTGTTTATGGTAAATATTATTAATCCATAAATGTTAATATTATTAATCATAAATACTAACCATACCTTTATATATTTTATATATATATATGCATTCTCTTCTAAAAAATTTTTTTAAAAGTAGACCACCTGGACATCATGCAAATCAGAATTTATGTGGTGGATATTGTTTTCTTAATAATGTTGCAATTGTTACCAACATTTTAATTGATAAAGAAAAAAATTTGAAAAAAGTTGTAATTTTAGATATTGATTATCATCAGTAAGTGACCATTACATATATATGTTATAATAATAATGATGATGATGATAAATATTTATATTTAACTTAAAAATTTTTTTAGTGGTAATGGAACTCAAGATATTTTTTATTCAGATTCAAATCCCTTATATGTTTCATTTCATGCAGAAAATGATTATCCATGGTATACAGGTGATGAGTCAGAGATTGGAATTGGTGAAGGTGAAAGTTACAATATCAACGTTCCTCTATCAAAAAATACTGATGATCAACAGTATTTAGAACAATTAAAAAATATTATAAATAATAAAATTATTCCTTACAATGCAAATTATCTTGCTGTTTCGTTAGGAGGTAAATATAAATAGTTTATTTTATTATTAAAGAAATATTAATTTATTAATTATTTGATTTATTAATTTATTTGATTTATTAATTACACTTATATATAAAATTTATTAACAAAGTTGACACATACAAAGATGATCCAATTGGAGGGTTAAACCTTACTTCTGAATGTTATCTTGAAATTGGCAAACTTATTAAATCAATAAATTTGCCAACTTTATTTGTATTGGAAGGTGGATATCATCTAGAAACCATAGGAATTAATGTCACAAATGTATTATTAGGATTTGAAAATTATTGATATCTATATTATTATTTACTATTATTATTATTAAATTTCACGGTTCAGCTAAACACCAAAATGACTTTTGTTCATATAAGATTATTTTCTGATTATTTATTTGGTAAATTTAATGATAAACCACAATTGCCAAATACAATATGACATGGTATGGCACATGTGACCAATCAGAAAATACTTTTTACATGTGTAAAGAAGGTAAATATAAAAGAAAGGAGGAGAATGATAAATACAAGTTATTGTTCTTTCTTCAAATTTGTTGAAAGCTGAGAAGTTTCTTCACCTGCACAGTCCTCTTGACCTTCCAGGGAATAGATCAGTTAGCAGAATCAACATTTTGGATTAATAATAAAGAAATGATAGTCACTCTCATATCAACATTCTAATTCTTAAATGATCCTGAAGTATATCCAAATGTTTCTAAACATAAATGGCAAAAAAATAAATTTCATTATTAATAATGTAAATCGTTATGTTAATAGGATTATTTTGATAGATGATGGAGATACCATAAACAATAGGTGCTTGTTCCAATCAAAAATTCAATCTGCATATTTGTCTTGCCTTCGAAGCAGCCTTAATCCATGATACATTTTGGTACAGTTTTAATTACAGCTTTGGAGTAAATCACACCCCATAAACTTGTAACTATTATTTTAATATTTTATATACTAATGTCAGAAATAAAATTATTGGAATGATAAAAATAAAAGCCCATGATACTATCAAATGGTACTGAATCTGAAGGATTTGTATTCACCTATTAATAAAAGATATATATAGCACAATTTTTCTCCAAAATTTATTCCTTTTAAAAAATTCAGTTTTGCTAATTATTTGTCTATTGAATATTAAGGCATTAGTGGTAAAACAATCTTTTGTTTTGTGGATGAATCAGAAAACCACAAAAATATTTTTCATGAAATATTTGAACATGAAATTTCATATGTCAATTACTATAATTTTTTTTGGAACACTGTAAAAATTTTAAAGATAAAAAAAAGCCAGGAACATAAAATTTTGTATGTAAATTCTACATTATTATATAAATTTTATGTGATATTGTTATGTGGGTTTTTGATCAAACACTGTCCAGATGTGAAAAGTATTGTTGTAAATGCTCTCTGGATTTTCTCCACCTGAAGCTTGAAGACTTTGATGACTTTATCCAAAAGTCAAGATGTGGTGTAGATAAAAAGGTGTAGTAAGAGTTACCATGATATTTCACAATTTAATTGAGATTTAGTATTGGATTATTTATAAAATTATTTTACAGAATTTTCCCACGTCGATCAAAATATGGATTTTGAAATTTTTAATCTTGTTTCTTGCATATTATTAGGATTAATAACATATATAGCACTATATTATATAAAATACTTTACAAGAACATCACCTTTACCAGGCCCAACACCTTTACCATTAATTGGTAATCTACACAGTGATAATTTAAATGAGTGGCTAAATAATTTACAATCTAAATATGGTGATATATTTGAAGTTTGGAAAGGTTCTGAAAGACATATCTGGATTAGTAGAGCTGATCTAGCTACTAAATTGTTGAATCCTTCTTATAAAAATAATTCATTTCCTTGGAGATTCGGTGAGAATGAAGGGCTAGATTTAATGGATATGACTAGAAAAGGAACAGTTTATAATCGTGACCTAAATAGCCTTATCTTTAATCGTAAATATATTTCGCAAAGTTTAAATTCAGTTAAATTTCTTAAAGAATCTATTATACACACTGAAAATTTATTCAAAGAAATGGAAAATTATTGGAAAAACATTTATAAAATTGATGATGAAAATGATGATGTTGATAAATTTATTAATTTATCAGATTGGATGATGAGATTTATGACTGATTTTACATTTATAATGATAACAAATCATAATGTTTATGCATTAACAAATTATTATGCAACATTTCAGAATATTAAAGATGGTTTGCCTGATAAAAAAATTCTAAAAGAATCGGAGAAATTGGTTGAATCTATTAGAGCGCATTTCATGGCATCAGCATATTTTAAGGATACATCAAAATATTCAAGATATCTATTGCCTGGAAATAGACTTAAATCTAAAAGATTGCTTGATCAAGTTAATTGGTTAAATACTAAAGTAATAGAAATGATCAATCAAAGAAAACAATTAATAAAAGAATCAAACAATGAGCTATTATCTTCTGATATGTTGACTATGCTATTAACTTTGAAAGGAGATTCTGAAAAAGGTAATGATAATGATGATTTTGAAGATGATGTTAAGGATGAAAGTAATAAAAGATTAATGACTGATGATGAAGTTCGTGCAAATATCTATGAAATATTAGGTGGAGCCATTGACACCGTATGTGTTCATATCTAAATATTTATTTATTTATTTCTCAAACAATTTATTAATTTATTTATTTATCAAATATTTTTAATTTTATTCAAGACTTCAAATACATTTTGTTATATTATTTATTATATTTCACATTATCCAAATGTCGAACAAAAAATGCTGCAAGAAATTGAAAATATCGTTGGTAAAGATGTTGATTCTATGATAAATTATTATGATTTACATAAACTTCATTATTGTGAAGCAATTATAAAAGAAGGTGGATAATACACTATTTTTTATCATCATTGCCTTTCTTTTCATTCTTTTCATTCATCCTTTTCTCAACTAATTTTTTTGTTTTGATTTTTTTCTTTGATAGTATCAAGACTTATGCCCACAGTATCAGTATTATTTCGTTATTCCTCAAAACCCGAACAAATAGCAAATTACCAATTTCCGAAATCAACTCAATTCTTAATAAATGTCCAAGGTATTCATATGAATCCACTTCACTGGAAAGATCCAAAAGTTTTTAATCCTGATCGATTTCTAGAAAACTAACAATCTTCTATTCATAATAATTCTTTACTTTATTTTGATGGTGACAGCAAAATTTTGTCCAGGAAGGCAAATTGCAATGTTACAATTGAAATGTTTGATGGTCCTATTCTATAGAAAGTATGACATCAAATTAAAAGATCCAAATCATCCTATAAAATATTTCTCTACTGTTGTAAATCATTGTTTAGAATTACCAATTAAATTACAAATAAAAAGACAATATAGATGAGCTACTTTGCAATTATCAACAAGGTTTGCCCTGTGAATTTATATGATTTCCAAATATCAAATAAATTTTTTTAAGGGTAAAAAGCAAAAATAATCCATCAGCAATAAGGCAAGCATTTTGTTGGATTTTTTTTTAAAAAAACTATACATTATAGTTATTGAAATAGATTTTTGTAGTTTGATTTTTATGTGAAGATGAGTGAATTAGCGTTGTTTTTATGGATAATTCATGCTTATACTTGGATTGTTCCTAATGCTCTAACATAAAGATTTATTTCCAACAAAAATCAATTTTTTTAATGGTGATGCTAAGCAACTTTGAACCCTGAAATTTATCAGACATAATTATAATAATAATAGTGATACATATTCATTTGTTGCAACATGTTCCAGTCCCATTTAATATTATTCTCCTATAAAAATCGGGATCCTCATTTTATATAACAATACATATTAATATATAAACTCGATAAGTCGGTCACGCAGGGGCGGGCACATGTGACCGACTTATCAAATTTTTGAATTTTATTTAGTAAAATATAATAAAATGTTTAAACAGTTATAAAATTATTCATTACTATTATGAAAAAAACTTTCTAAGATAGGTTTTTTTAAAGAAGCGTTTTGTTTTCTTCTAATTTGATGTTGTAGGTCTCTCATTCCTGATATTACTGAGTTATTTATTTTTATATTAGAATTTTGTTGTAAATGATTAAATAGACTGTATATGATATTGGAGCACTCATAGTTTCTTATTCTTCTGGTGCTTCTTGTACTGCGGCAATTATCTCCTCATCATCAATTATTTCAGAGTTTTCTATTCTAGAGTCCAATATTAATATAGTTACTTGCTGCAATACCATCAACATTCAATTGATTAATAAGTAATTGGACTGCATCTTCATCATCTTCTAATAAATATTCTAATTCACTTGGTCCCATTTCCTCATCCTCTTCAAACATCTCATCATTAGGTAGAATATCTGTTCTTTGCCAACAACGGTATATTGTATCATCAGTTACATTATCCCAAGCTTCTGCAGTCCAATTAATTGCATTCAAAATATTTAACCTAGGAATATCAACACCAAGTTCTTGGTTTCGTCATATGCTTGAATCCTGTCTTGGCATAGTAATTTTCTATAATGTGCCTAATAAAAAAATAAATAAGGTAAATTTATCACTAAAAAAAAATGAATAATTACCTTAAATGATTGTATTATACCCTGATCAATTGGCTGAAGATGGGAAGTTGTATTTGGCGGAAGAAAATGCAATTTAATATTGATCAATTCTTCACCTTCTTCCAATTGATGATGTGACGAAGCATTATCTACTAATAATAAAATGTTGGAAAATAGAACGTTGCATCCATGATGAATTATCCCAATAATACCACACGGGGAGTGATTTTTATCAATATTATGAATACATCGTGGATTTTTATATTTATAGATAAACATTGGAGGTAATTTATGAGTTCGATTACATTACATGCAAGCATTATAGTGATTCTATCTTTTGGTTTCTTTAATCCAGTAATAGGTCCACTGGCAAGAGATGTATTAGGTTCTAATTTCCAATAAAGACCAGTTTCATCTGCATTATATACATCTGCCAATTCATATTGTGCAATTATAGATTGTAGTTCAGTTCTAAGTGCAGGTAATTCATTAATTGATGCACTTGCTGCTTCTCCTAATTTATAATGTTCTTTAATATTGTTTCTTTTTTTAAAATTTACAATCCACCCCTATTTAAAATCAATAATAGATATTTAATGAATTAATACACAATTTAAAACAAAAAGAAATTGATACTTACATGTGATGATTTGAAATCGGAAATATTAAGTCTTTGAGCAAATTGCGCCGCCTTTTGACTCAAGATCACACCAGTTATTGTACAGTTAGCTTCATTGACAAGATTCACCCAAATCAACAATGCTTCCCCTAACTGTGGCCATCCACCTCCACGATCACGTTTTTTATTAGCATCTGTTGAATCTTCTGCAACTGCAAGCCATTTATCTTTGCTTCTCAAAATATCACCCACAGTTGATTTACTTATTTCAAATAATTCAGCAATTGTTTCATGTGACTTGGATGGATTATCACGTTTATATTCACATAATTCCTTTTTTTTAATAGCTGTAAGAGTTTTTAATTTCCTTCCTTTTTTACTTCCGCCTTTACTAGTAGATCCAGATGTTCCTTCAGCATTATTTCTTTGTGTATTCATTTTAATTAAAATTTTTATTTTGTTCTTCTTAAACGAAGTTAATATTTTTTTTTTTTAACAATATAGTTAAATTTATAATAACAGGTACATGGCAGTAAATTCATCCTTTATATAAGAAATTTGGTAAAGGATCTTTATTCTACGAATCAAGGAGACAAAGGATAGAATTGATTGTATTTATTTTATTTCAAATTAGATCTAATAATTTTCATGGATTTAAAATTGTTATCTTTATTCAAGACAAAGGATAGAAATTGGTGTATTTTATTTCAGGTAATTTTCATGGATTTAAAGTTGTTATCTTTATTCGAGACAAAAGGTTAGAAATTGATTGTAATTTTATTTGTTTCAAATTAGATCTAATAATCTTCATGGATTTAAAATTGTTATCTTTATTCGAGACAAAAGGTTAGAAATTGATTGTATTTTATTTTATTTCAAATTAGATTTAATAATTTTCATGAATTTAAAATTGTTATCTTTATTTGAGACAAAGGATAGATTGATGTATTTTATTTTCATGGATTTAAAATTGTTATCTTTATTCGAGACAAAGGATAGAAATTGATTGTATTTTATTTCAGATAGATCTTTATTTGAACAAAAGGTCAATTGATCATATTTTATTTTAGATTAGATCCAATAATTTCACAGATTTAAAAAATTAATGAGACAAGATAAAAATTATTATTATTGTTAATTAAAAAAATAGTCTTTTTGGAAATGTAGATAGATTTGGCTAATAATTCGCAATTGTTTCTAATCAAATTGCAAATAAAGCCACATATATATTCTATAAATTTTTATTTTTTCGTCCCGTGTAACAAAAACTAACAACCAATCAAAATTCGAAAACTTAGTCATGTGCGTAATATATCACGTGCAACTGACTTATCGCGACTAATTTAATTATACTCGGACTAGGTGACTGACCGACTTAGCTCTTATCGCGACTTTATATAGTTTGACCGACTTATCGAATTTTTTTAAATAGTAAAAAAAAGGGGCGGAAAATTTTGGCCGAGTTAGGCCAAAACCGACTTATCGCGTGACCGACTTATCGAGTTTATATATGTACGCGACATTTTATTTTATAAGTCGGGCCAACATTAGACGAAATTGACCAAAATTATAAGGTGCCAATTTCAGAATTTTTATAAATTTTATAATAGAATTTTCAAACTTTAACCTGACATGACTCTTGTTACACTGAACTTATTTAAAAAGGCTCAACGTAGCTCAATAGCTCTTAACTAAAATAATTGATTAACGTTGTTTTTTTTCAAAAAGTGCATGGGAATTTGATCCATGTCAATTTTAAGAAGACCAATTATTTTGGATGTATTATTGTGACACACACTGTATTACCAAGAATTTCGGGGATCAAAATTTAGTCATTTGAAATGTGATTATAATTATCAGTTTTATAATATCCCATTTGTTAACCTCTTAATATTAGGTGATATATAGAATTACCTCTATATAAAATAGTTGATATGATTAAATTAGGTCTACTATGGAACCCAAGAATTACAGCACTATTAGAAGTATTTTAAGGAAGGAGCAAGGAGAAAAAATTGCACTTTATGTTTTTAAAATGAATAATACCAAAGTTTTTTGGGAATATCTAGATAAAGAAAAAATCACTTATGAAATTTATCAAGAAGTCAGATAACTAATTTGCTTCTTATTCTGGCTTATTGAGCTGTTGTACTTTTGTTCAAATCAAGTCTGTATTTAAGAGGATGACTAACCAATATTTCTATTTCAAATTCAACAATTTTTGAAAAAAAAATTTTTTTGTAACTAATACTAATGGATGCAAAGATAACTTTATTAAAGAAATTAGCCATTTGCATAGTTCCACCAGTGGTTGGATGCAATTACTTTATGAACATTTTCATTTTTATGTCATTAAGCAGCGAGTGCATAAACTTGATGCCTTAGTAAAAATATTGTGCTTTGGACTAGAAACTAAAGAGGTTGAATTATTTAACATTTCTTTCAGTTGTCAATAAGATGTCACTGAGATACCCAACTCAGTGTACAAATCTCTACTTCCACACAACCAAACCTTGTCCCAGATACTATTAATACATATTTCCACACTGGAAAAGTCCTGTGAACATACA